TAGTTTTGAAGCTACCGTCTGATATAGTGCATCACCGCTACATAGCAAAACAGTTCCTTGATGAGAAACTTATTTGCCTACCTTCCGACGTTCAAACACTGACAACGATTGACCTAAGATACACCAACATAAGTATTTTCTTCAATATCTTTCAATTATTCAGCTATAAATTAAACATAAAGTTTGAAGTTACTAAGCGTACCGACACCTCATTAGCAAATAACCACTTCAACGTTCTTCATTCGCTTTTGCTTATATTGTAAGTTAGTTTTAAACAACCCACTTCTTCTCGATCTACCATTTTGACGAAAAAGCAATGCAGCAACTTCTCACAAATAACAGGTCGCTCGAAATCCACATTGTTGTATTTTTTAAAGAACTGCATAGGGCCTTGGAGGCTTAAACAAGTGCAATGTCCCATTAGTTTATGTCTACGCAGTGTTCCTTGAGCTTAATTTTGCATTAGCTCTTCACCCAGGATGTTGAAAGCTTTAGCAAAGCCATATTTTACAATACTAGAGGAATGGTTATTCAGTCTTATAATTATTCGAGAAGGCCTAATCCATTCAATTTCTCAAATTATGTGGAACGCGACATTAACATACCGATAACAGTTGGCTCAAGATCTACCATGATAGCCCTAGGATAGTACGACTGCCTCGATTCGCTAAAAAAGACGCCAATGTCATCGCTCTGTGCGGTTCTCTCACAGCCGAGAGCATCGTAGGGAGTGCAGTACAGTCGGCCGTCAGCGCCGATTCCGTGCTCGCAGGCCAGCAACTCCCATACAGCGTTACCAATCTGTACTCCGCATTGGCCTAGGTGGATGGTCAGGAGACCGTGCATTTTTATCCGCTTCGCAGCTCTCCAAGTTGACTTGGCACCTGATTACACCTCCCTTTAATGTGAGGCGCATTCAAATAACTGAGAAAGGAAGGAAGGGAGGAAGAATCGATTAGTTGGACCTCGTCACTGAGACGAATTGAGGTTTCAGGGAGTCTTAAGAAGAAAGACGACCTGCAAGAATCATTTC